TCTTTGTAAATAGGGAGGACTGGAGGGGTTGAAGGGAGGGCTGGGCAAGGGTGAAAAGTAAGAACCAAGAGAGACTATGTAAAGGTGCAAATTTCCAATGATGAATGTCATTATATTGTATACCTAAAAAAATTCTTTCTTATTGAATGAGTGGTTGCTTCCAGGCTGACCTCCAACCCACAGCAATCTTTCTGCCTCAGCCTCCGGAGTGCTGGGATTACAGGCATGTGCCACCACATCCGGTAAAAATATTTTGCAAGATGAATAAAGCGAACTATTATCAGAATGTATTTTTTAAGGTTATAACAATTTCCTTTATATCTGGAAAAATATAAAAGGTACTGTTGAGAGTTGATGACTGCCACAGAGGGGCACTATTGAAATGAAAAGAATAATCATCCACGCACACTCAGGCCCTTTGGGTATAAAAATAACCCTGATATCTTTTTGAACATTTTATTAGAAAGTGGCAAATTATAGTTGTAAGTATTTATGGAATATAATATAATGTCATGCTTCATGTATACAATGTGAAGTGATTAAATCAACCCAATTAACATATGTATCACCTTAAATCCTTAACATTTTGTGATGATAACATCGAAAAGTTACTCTTCGCAGTTTTTAAATGTATATTATTATTAAAGAGAGTCACCAAGAATTCTTTTTTCGCATAGTTTCATTACTTAAAACGAAAAAGTCCAATAATTTTAATGACCAGTAGATGGCACTACAGCTTGCGGTTATAGGGGACTTCACAACTTCCAGGGATTTTGAAGACGTTTGTGGGAAGAATTCTTTAAGTCATTTTTATTGTTTACAAGAGGTCGATAGTAGAGTTGTACCCTAAATAATGAATTATTCCCTTTTAAGAATCCTATATTTCTGTACAAATAAACAATAAAATAACTTCATTGCAGAAAAATATTTGTAAAGAAAGAAAATCACTATTATCTATATTTCTACTACTTAGGGAAACTTTTGTGTTTAATACTTTATTTTCAGCATAAAACATGTTTGACATGTTTACTATTAAACAGGATGTAATGTTACTCTATATTTTTAAATGGCAGCAAATATAGTTTGACTATTCTTTCATACACATAAATGAATTTTGTTATTTTTAAATTTTGACATAGCATTTACTCATATTGTAGAATCACACGTACTTAACTAAGTCTGTAATTTTGGACAGTTAAGTGGCTTCTAATTTTACACTATCAAAAATGTCCTGATAAAATATTCTTGTGATTATGTATTGCAGACCAAGGACTATTCCTTTGAAATTTTCTCTCCTTACTCCAAAATAATCACTTCAGAGAGGATTGTATGAATTATTTTCCAGTTTTTGTTAACTATTCTCCAAAGGTTAAGCTACACCAGTTTATATTGTCATTAGCAATCTTTCTGGTCATATGTTTCTCAGTATTTTCCTTCAGGAATTCATTTACATTCTAATTTCAGTTATATATTTATGTGTTGACATCTGATCAAAATTAAAAGGTTGAGAACAAGTTCAAAAACATCATTTCTATACTGATATTATAAAGTTTTGAATCATTAAATACTGTAGTATCTACCATTTTCAGGGGTATTTTATCTTTTGGGGGGGTTACTGGGGATCGAATTCAGGGCCTCACACTTGCCAGGTGGGTGTGGTGCCACTGAACTACATTCAGGCCCATATTTTGTCCTTTTAAAATAATTTCATAATATCTCTATAATTATGTGAAATAAACAGTATTTTTCTTTTCAGATGAAGAAATTGAAATTACAGTGGAAAGCAATACAAAACACAGAGACCCAATAGTTATTTTCAGCTCATACTACCATAATTATCTAAGGTGAGTGAAGCTTACGGATTTAACATTTTGAAAACTACACAAGTTTGACTATAGGAGCAAAGAGAGTAGTACATCTATAATGGGCTTCCACAGCACTCTCCATTTCTCCTATTTTGCCCTTTATCAAGCCATACTGTAATTACTTTAGTGTTTGTTTTACAAGTTGATCATAAATTCTGCAAGGCCAATTTTCATGCCAAACATGCTCAAGATATTAACTCTAGGGTCCGCCATAGTAGTAGGTGCTTCATAATTACTTATTAAATGAATTATTTTAAAGTTCCTAAAATAAACATGAATATCTTATGTAGAAGTAGACATGTTATGAATAAATGTTACTTTATGCCAGTAGTAAAAGTTGATGATGTAATGTTTTCATTTGTTGTAAGCATCACTAATATGTAATACACACTAGGGCTTCCTGTGAACCAGGTGCTGTTTTAGGGTCACTTTGATGGACAAATTTAACTTATAATTAAGTTTAACTAAATTTCAAACTCATCTAAAACAGCTGGTCAGTGGGTGGCAGAAATGAAACTTAGCCTACTGGGCTCTCATCTTCTGGCTCTTAGCAGCTACACTTTTATTTATAGATCCCACAACACACCAATCACAAGACAGTAGTTTCCAGTATGACTCAAGAGGAGATTGTTGTTATTAATAATAGAATATTAGAGTTTGGAAGCCACCTGTTTCATTTTGCAACTATGGGAACTGAGGGACTCAAAAGTTAAAGACACTTGTATATCATTTCTTACTAAGAGGAATATTAGACCCACATTTTTTCTATATATCATAGTGGTGATAACAATTTAAAGATACAGTATTGTACATTTCCAACATTCAGAAAAGGGCAGTACTTCAAAATACACTTTTAAGACAATTTTGAAAGTTATCAATATTTTTCTGACTGAAATAACCAACAAAGATCATGTATGCCACATTTCCATTCAGTAACATTTTTGTAAATAACTAAAACACATATAGCACTTCAAAACCAAACAAAATGTTTCAGGACCTTGGTTATGTGGAACAGATCTTCCTGAACATCTGCTAAATGTGGAAAAGTAGAAACAGCATTTTAGGGGGCTGGGGATTTAGCTCAGTGGTTCCAGTGCTGGCCTGAGAAGCACAAGGTCTTGAGTTCGATCCCCGGTACCAAAAAAAAAAGAAAGAAAAAGAAACAGTACTTTAGGATACACGAGCATGAAAACAAGTTGAAATGTACTTAAACCACGTTATAAAACAAAAGTTAAGAATAGATAGAATTTTTTAAAAATCATAGTATTTTTTCTTTTTGCCTTTTTTTTGGTACCAGAGATCGAACTCGGGACCTTGTGCTTGAGAGGCAGGCGGTGGAACTGTTTTCTGCTTCCTAATAGTGACATATAATTTATTCATTTTCAATGAATACTTCTTGGAAACCATTATGTTGATTCTACTTTTATTTTCATATACATAGAAGCAGCTTATAGTCATACTGAACACAAACAAACACTTTATTGCACATTGAAAATACTTCACATGAATTATCGCACAGGACAAAGCTGACTAGGACAGATACAAACTTCTTATCAGATAAGACTGGTATTATTCCAGAGTTGAACAATGTAGAATATTTCCTGATAGAGGTTTCTCCCGCCACATATTGCACATTTTCCAATACTTTTTATCTGTTTTACAAATATTTGTCATAGTCTCTGCTTTTGTCTCTTCTTTGAAAAACATTAATGGAAGATATTAAAGGCAAAGAAATATGTACCATTGAAAAAGACCTGTCTGGAATTAAGGAAGTTAAAAAAGTAAAAGGTCAACACTATTCTTTTGAGGGAAAAATGACAGAGTAACATGGCAAATTTCTGCAAATAGAGGAAATATTACAAAACTTAGTTCCACAGCATTTGTCCATTTATGAATGTTTTCTGAAACTTAAGGATTTCCTTTAAAATGAATATCTGTGTTACTAGTCAAAATTCCATTTATTTACATTCACTTTTTGCTACCACTGTTTAACTTCTTCACATAGTGCAAATGCTTGATACACATTCTCTGTTTTTTGGTAGTCATTCAACAATAAATAATAACTTTAAACCTAGTTATTTTATTATGTATGTACTTTTTAAAAATATAAAGTGCATCCAAAAGACTTTATAGTCATTCTTGGACATGGTTATCCATCAACTTGTGATATTTTCAGCTCATGGCAGAAAGAAATCACAAAGCAGATTTTCCTGGAATTTCTCTTCCTTCTGTCCCACAGTTCTAACTGGAAGACAATTTCCAAAGTAACACGAAACTTGCTCATCAAGTCTTGACAGAGATTCATGACCACAGAGCAGCATCCGGCATAGGACCTCCCTTTAGTTTGGTGGTACCATGGGCTTCGGAAATGCTTCCGTCATCTGGAGGCTCTGCTGCAGATCCAGGGCAAACCCTGCCCACATTCTGCACTGCCGACCTCTGTGCTGCTCAGCGATGCACAACTCTCAAACCCCGTGAGGTTGAACCTGGCAGACAATAAAGTCAGAATGATTTCCAGCTCATCATTTCTGTTCAGTTCCACGAGAGTACAATGTGTGTTGACATCTCCCTTGCTTAAGTCAGCCACTAAAATAGTCATAGTCTAATGTATAGGGAAAGTAGAGAAGTGATAGGAGTATTTGTAAAAAATACGAAGAACTAAGAGCAAAGTGTTCTGTTCACTGGGTTGACATATCACCAAGGAGATGATTCTTGGTCACTTTTGAGTTCATAGATTTTTCAAGAAATCCTTCAGAAATTTTATGCATTCAACAACCATACATACTTGAGCACAGTTTTAGGGGTTTTACAGGCCCTGCAGTCCACCTGCAGATATGGCCCCAAAGGAAACTTATTAAGAATCCCTTTACTAGTGAGCCCAGTTCAAATCTTGATATTGTGTCAATATTTGTCATAAAATTTTTAAGAGAGTGAAAAATCTATTCAACTTTAGGTTTTCAGATCAATACAAAGCTTATAAAGTGTCCTTCAAAATGTACAATGTAATTTAAGTACAGGTAATGAAAATAGAATTAGCATCTCTAATTCTGGGCTAAGTTTTTGTTAGGTTCATAGAAACTCAAATTAAGCATTGAAAATATTGTTGTTTATCCTCCAGTCAGATGAAAGTTGAGGAAAAAGAGGAAATTCTTTTCCAAGAATGGTTTCATCATCATTATCATAACTATTCTTGGACTACTTTCAAGCTAAATCTATTACAGTTACTGCTGAGTAAAAGATACTATATGAATCTATTGTATGATTCTAAGTGGATAGAGAAAATACTGTAATAAAACCTATCTTTAAAGAATTCCAAATAGTATAAACAAAAGAAATGGTTGGATCCATGCTCATGAAGGGGTTACTTAGCCTTTATATGCAATAGAGCTTTGAAGGAAGTTAAGGGGAAACAAGAAGTAAAAATGAAACAAGAAAAGAAAAATAGTTTTCCTGCAGAGTTAACCTGAGGAAGATGAAGAGAAGCCCAACACTTACCAGTGGTTAAATTCTTTGCCATTTGACCATTTCCAGATCTGACCAGTTCCATTTTTCAGCCCAATCCAGTGTTCAGCTGAACCCGCATATCGTTTCAGAAAGATCTTAAAGCAAAAATAAGTGTCTACATTAAACAGCTGACTGGTGAGCATTTAATAAAGTTGTTTCTCAAAAGCTGTAATTTGGGGCATGAGGACTAAGTTGGTCACTTATCAGATCTGTTTGGGCTCAGCTTTTTGAGATTTGCGGTCTTGGACGCTAAGCAATCGAATCCTATTTAAAAGACTATAACGAAGTATTTTATTTTTACCTTAGGCTTATCATATGCTGTGACTAAATTTCTCTACATGTGAGATAGGTACATATTTTTTTCACTCAGAAAGGAATAGAAGGAAATCATAGATTATCTAAATAAAATAAAGTAGCAATATTTTTTATGTATGAATTGTTTTGAATCTTACCAGGTCCTTTTCAGAATCAATGACAGCAAGAGTAGCACCATCTTCAGAACAAGAGCTCTCAGCTGAGGTCCAGCTCTTTGCTGTTGTGGAAAAGAAGTAGCACTTCCTGCGGTACAGAACCCATGCATCTGGGCATGGAGACACATGGCTGTTTGAAGGCAGGGAGAGCTCATACCAGCTCGGACAGTTGTACTTGCCCACTGTGAACAGGAAAGTGGTTTGCTTAGTAGCAGAAGAAGCCAGATACACTCAGCTAGTACAGTTGATCTGCAGAAGCTGAGCTGGGGGAGGTGAGGGAGGGTGAGGGTCAAAGGAGACCACTGCGAGGACAGTGAGAGAAAGCTGATGTCTGTCCACCTGATCTGTCTGTCACTGTGCCTAATCCCGACTGGATGGGGTCTCAGCATAAGAGGCATCTCTTTTATCCTAATGTCAAAATCAGGCAAGAAAAGGAAAAAAAAAAAGAACCCAGAAAATGGCCCTTAGACTAGGAAAGGTGATGTGCATTGTAAATTCCAAGTAAAATTTTGAATCTAATTGCCAAGGTGTAGGAATTTGAACATAGAGTAGGTACAAAACTGTATTGAGAGTCTAGGGAAAGATTAATTGGCAGCTAACTAATTCAAAGAACAAAAAGCAATGGCTGGGGTTGTTTCATAAAGTTGTAAAACTTCCTATTTGCAAAAGATGTAAATATCTGTTGGTACACATACTGATATAATAGGTATTTGCCATCATTTCACTGCTCACACTCAGGGAGGTTTTAGAGTTTCTAGCTATAGTCTTAATCTAAACCACCATTCTGTGGCTTTTCAATTAAAGGTAAAAGAATAGTTATTTTATTTGGAGTAATCTATGGCTTAGATATTATTTTCTTTGCTTGTAATGAATGGAGGGTACATGTATTTTTCTAGCTAAATATCTATTCATTTAAATTCCAAATTAGCCCCCTTTCTTCTAGATGTAAATATTTTCTCTTACACTAATGTATAAATCTTTTTTTTTTTGGTACTGGGGATCAAACTCAGGACCTTGTGCTTGTGCTGCAGGCGGCAGAACCACTAAGCTAAATCCCCAGCCCCAGCAATGTATAAATCTTAAACACTTAAAAGTATCACAGTAATCATTCAAGGAACATGGACTCTTAAGAATTTGGCCATGTATTATATATGATATAACACAAACTAAAATTCCCGATTAACTGGGCCAGTATAATTCCTACTGATTTCACCTGGGCATGAAGGCTTACAGCTAAGAGGCTTTGAGAGAAGATGCAGAGTGCAGACTCACCTACTAAGGCAATGAGAGCAATGACTAACACGGTATTGAAGACCACAATCAGGACAGCACATGGGATAGGAACTTGAAGAGACCCTTCGTGTTGTGTTTCAAAATGGAGACTGGTGGAATTATCTGAAAAGGAGACAATTGGTGATGAATTCGGGAAGACTGAGCTTTTGGCATTATTTTGACTCATTTAAATTTGCAAAAAGTAATGTGTTTTCCCATGTCTTCTTGAATGTCATATAAATGTGAAATATGACAATTCAAGTGCAAAGAAGCTACAGTGACAACAATGAGAACAGTGAATGCATTTCTGTGTGTGTGAGAGGTTATTCAACAGGAATGGGGCACAGTGGAGCTTTCTAAGTTGCAGAGAATATTCAAGTATTCACATAGCTCTGGTTACACAATTATTATAACTTGTTACATTGTATACCTATTGTTTATACATTCATGTGTATAAATTATACTCCAATTCAAAATTACAAGTAATCCTCTACACAAACAACAGATTCACTGAGAGAGAAATGGGGCAAACAATTCCTTTCACAATAGCATCCAAAAAACTGAAA